ATAAATTAAAGAAAAAATTATATGTAAAAATAGCTAAAATGGTCCTCTACAGTAACTTCAGCCAATACAGCCAGAAAAGTAACTCCAACCTTACTTTTTCGGCTTATTACACAATTCAGCGCGCGAAAGTAAAAATTACGTGTTTGGTGAAAAAGCTGGCTGATAAGCCTGATAAGCCGAAAACAGAGTTCTCCAAATGGGCTCTAAATGGACTGACCCTTGATCTTGCCAAAATACCATTTGTGTGTACGTTTGATCCCTCCCCTTTTGTGTCTCTTTCTTATATGATTCACACAAGTTGCTTTGTTGAAATGAGAATAAAATAAATAAATAGCTGACCTCCTTGACTTAAGTTAATAACAACATTAATTAAGGGGATGTTTGGAACTGATTCTGCTTCTGCTTCTTTTTTAAAAGCAGAAGCAGAATCAGAATCAGTTTTCAGAAGCTGGTACCCTTCAGCCTCTAAAAAAACTGATTCTGAGAGTAAATTAGAGCTCCAAAAGTGCTTCTGGAATTTCACCCAAACACTTCAGCTTTTGCTTCTGCTCCCTGAAGGAGCAGAATCAGTTTTGAGAATCAGATCCAAACACCCCCTAAGTACCGAATAAAGTTGAATCAAATTATTTTGCTATGTTCACCTGAACCCAAACGAATCATTAAATAAGAAATAATAGTCACTCCTCAGTAAGGAAGGGAACTCACCACTGCACCAAATGCAATATCTGAAGCAGCGGACAGTGAATAATTAAACCAGCAACTTGGGTCACATCAACCAAGTCGTCATTGAACTCCATTAGTATTTCAAGCTGCCTCAAACGACTAAATGTGGGCACCTTGCGCGGCAAACCATAAGGCATATGGTTTTTGTCCAAGCTTAAATCGAGACAACAAGTTTCAACCTCAGAACAATCCTTTGCTACCCAGCTAACGATGTGTGGTTGTATACTCCCTTGAAGCTGACATGCTGAAGCTTGGGGGCATGGGCAGGATGAGAAAACTTCAGTGGTAAACAACTCACTTCCAAGTTTAGAAGGTTTTCAACACACAAATATATATATATGTCCTCCTTTGCCCCATAACATGCGATAAAGGTTAATGACTTCAACTCCAGTTGTTTTCCTCCGCCAATGAACACCTTAGAAGGAAGAGAGCAAGCATCCAAGCATAGAGACTTGAACCTTATTTGGGCATGATGACAATATGATCTTCACATCAACTGAATAAATCATATGCAACGTTAGTTTTAGAGGTTTGAACGGTTGTTGGGGGTTGCACACGGACAAATACAGAGATGTGAGCATAGGTGCTTCTGCTCCGCACAAAAGCTTCTGAAGCGGGAATGTGATCCGTTCTCCATAGACTGTATTACGCAACTTAAAGGTAGGCTCTTCCACACCCAATTAAGCAATGTGATGCACCCACCGCTCGAGCTCAATATCTAGGGCTGAGCAAAACCCGATCCGACCCGAAAAACCCGATATTTTTTTCGGATATTATCCGAACCGAAGTGGATATCCGACCCGAAAAACCCGAAACCGAAAATCTGATTAGTATTGGGCCTAGACCGGGTGGCGGGTAGGGTTTGTGAAATCCCAACCCGACCCGCCCGAATATCCGAAATATATGTTAGTGTGTACTTTGAATATTTAAATTAATACTTGTGTTCAATTATTTGTGTAATTATTTATGAAATTTGTATTAAATTATTTGTGTAAATTGAATGTGTAGTGAACTAGTGTGTACACTTTTTGTTCAAGTGGCATTCCAACACTTTAACTATCCAATTATAATGTGTTTTGATATAACCAAAATATCCGAAATATATTAAATTATGTAGTGTGTACTTTGAATATGTTAAATTAATACTTGTATTCAATTATTTGTGTAATTATTTGTACAATTTGTATTAAATGTTTTGTGTAATTTTGAAGTTTAGTGCACTCGTGTGTACATTTTTTGTCAAAGTGGCATTTAAACACTTTAATTATCCAATTATAAATTTTTTAATACAACCGAAATATCCGAAACCCGACCCGATATCCGATAATATCCGACTTTAAAATATCCGAAATACCCGATTTGAAATATCAAAGGGTCGGGCCTAGTATTTAAATTAAAAAAAACCCGAACGGGTTTAGGGTTCGCAAACCCGACCCGCCCGAACCCGACCCGTGCACACCCCTATCAATATCACCTAAAATGGGGTGCCAATTTTTTTCTTTTGGTTGCCCCATTCACTTTGTCACTTTCTCTTTTAAGTAAAGAATTTATGTGTTCAGTTAATCCTATCTCCTCTGCACAAACCACAACCACATAATTTTTACTTCATTAATTTCCGTGTTGATCAAACTTGACAATTTTTTAAGGGACATAGGGTATATACACAATATTAAACTTTGAAAATACATTTATATACTCCGCATTAAAGTATTGATAATACGAAAAGAATGTTGTTTATTAAAAAATATTATCACTCCGTATTATACAAGTATAAAATTTACGAGTATAAGTTTCACAAAAGTATATTAGTTCAAATGATTGATTAAATATTACCATCAATAAATAGAAAAATAAATATTACGGAGTACTAAGCATGCTTTCACTTGCACTCTAATTTTCAAATCTGGTTTGTTCTAGTCTGATTTGTTCAAAACTGATCTGATCTGGTTTAGTCTCTGGTAGATGTCTGGTCTCTGATCTATGAGGGTGTTTGGCAATTGGCTGTTGGTAGTTGGCCGTTGGGTGGTTGTGTTGGTTGATTACTGACAGCGGATTCCGTTGGCCGTTTTGATAGCTGATAGTGTTAGCTGTTTATAAAATAGTATTTGGTTAAACGGTTGTTTATAATCGGCTGATAGTTTGTTAAATTACTTAAAAAATAATTTACAATTTAAAAAACAAAAATTAATGAAAACAACATTAATTATTTTAACTTTTTTTTTGCGAGGAAATTATTTAACATTTTTTCATGTATTAATATATTACGTATTTATTTAGTATGAGGATATTTTGTTCAATAAATGGAGTTATTAGTAAAAATATACCAAGTAAAAATATAGCAAGTGCAATCACCTAGACTCTGCTGGTGAGCACGCAGCCTTGGCAGATCAAAGCAACAGTGGGTATGAGCCGTACGTCAAACTGCCGGCAATCTGTGTGTGTGAAATCAAAACAACGATGGAATCAGTATAGTTTTTTTTGTTTTGTTTTTAAAGGCTTGATTTCCCTTAATGTGAAGAAGTATAATGAGAGCAAACGGATAGAAAAGCAATTGATGCACCGGAGAAGAAAGCTTTCTTCAATGCTCTGCTGTTTTTATTTTTAGCGGAAGAAGTGACGCATGGAGAAGCGGAGGAGGCAAGCCTGGGCAGCAGAATAGGAATACAGGTTAAATATTCAAACTAACGGCCATTGTCTAAACGCTATATTTATCAGCTTTTTCTGTTTTGGCTGTTTAAGTGAAAAGGTCAACTAACCATACACTTTAATTAGCTATTTACATGGTTGAATAGCCAAATATTAGTCAAATCAGCCAAAAAATAGTTGATAGGCCGCTAACCAAACACCCCTATGTATTTTATTACAATTATTATCGAGGTTTGATTTTATCTGGTATATCTAATCTGAGACCGAAATCACCCCAAATAAAAAATATAAAGAAATACTCAATTATATAGGCTTAAATATGTTTTTAGTCTTTGCAAATATGACACTTTGTTAAGTCCATGCAAAGCGTTTTTTCTCACCCCTTTAATATGCACTATTTTGTTTTTAGCTCAACTCTAATTTTCCAGGTCGTCCCCGGTCTGGTTTTAACAACACAGTCTGAAACTAATCTACTTAGAAAAAAGTTATCGCCTGTTGCGTAAAATCTACTAAATTCATTTTAAGTTATCTTCTTATAATATTTAGGTTATTATGAGAGTTAAAACAATGTAAAATCAAGTATTCGCATTTTAAAATATACTCCGTATATTAACAACATTCTAAAAATAAAATAAAATACATTTGAACAACATGACAATGAATTAGTGGAATTGAAACGTAATATGTTAGTTGCGGTTGACTTGTTGTCAAACGGTGAACGACTAGAAAAACAATATAAATTTCAGGGATGAAAACAAAAAATAAAAGGATTTCGAGTCCATAATTGCAGGGATGTATCTAAAAAGACGGTTCACTGAATTGGAAGTCAAGAGAAGGATTTCGAGTCCAAAAATGTTAGAGATTTTTGAAAAGCATGAAGTAGTTATTTTATCTAAAGGGAAAATGCTATTGCTATTTCTATTGCTCGTGACAAGTTTCTTAAGAGGGCATTGATTGTCCCTAATCTTGACAGTCATCATTTTAAAAAAGATTACCCTAGTTAACATTCTGTCTTGGGCTATTTGATTTCATATTGCATTTTAAAAAACTTCAATTACTTAATTTCCTAAAGGGCATAGCAAGTGGACAATACGGTTTTCTCCTAAAGGGCCCAATTTATGTACTACGACAACCTCAATCGTTGAATAAGTTTCTCGTTATAAAATGTCGCAGTTATTTGATACAATAATTAAATAAGGTATTTCGAGTATATAATTAGAAGTAGTTTTGATAGGTATTTTTTTTTGTGTTTTGTCACAAAAATGAGGATATCATTTTTAACATATGATTAATTTGTCATTTAAAAGTGTTAATTATTAATATTAATATTTGAATAATACTACCTCTGTCCCCCTAAGTTTGGGACAAAGGGGTGTGATGTGGTTTTTAAGAAAAAGTAGAATTGTGTGGTTAGTATTGAATTGATAAATTGTGAACAAAGTAAGAATAAATTTTAACCACTCAAATATTACCTAATATGGTATGTGACAAACTTAATTGGATGAACGAAAAAGGTAAAACGGGACAAAGTCAGGGATGGAAAGAGTATATATTTAAAAAAAGAATTTCGTACGATAAAGTTTGATTCAAAATCTCGCACATATATATTCATCATCTCAGTGTTAAACACAAACTCATATACTGAAACTTGACCTACAAATTGATCGGACAAAGCCAAACCTCCGTAGACTTACGAAGCAACCGCTTAACCTAAACCTAGAACCTTCATTCGACAGCTATAAATAGATATACACATACGAAATTTTCGAACACCTCGTTCTACCCAAAAACCCATCTAAAACCCATCTTAAACATTCTCTCCGTGAGAGAGGAATTGAAGAAAACGAGAGCGAAAGAAGGAGAAACGATCGTGAGACGGGAGAGAAAACGCTCGCCGGAGTTTCGCCGGGCTAATCTTCACGCCGGAAAACAGAAGAGGAAAAGGGCTGCCGTTTCCTGCCAGTTCACTGTTGACCGACGCCGACTAGTTTTCTCCCATCGCCGGACCATTCTACGTCGTCCAGGTAACGATCTCTCCGGCCAAGGCCTGCGTTTTTATTTCGTGTGGAAGACGATCGACCAAGCTTGTCTGTTGTCCTTCCCTTTACTGATTTGGGTTGGTGGGGCGGTTATTTGGGCTGGAGTTTTAGAGCTACCAGGCTGATTTTCTTAACAATCTTGGGCTCAGCGGATTATAACACTATTGGACTGGTTGTTGGACATTAATATAATCAATGAGAGTAATTTTAGTAAGACATCATACCGTAGTATATACCAAGAATAATGAATAATAATAATAATAACAATAATAAAAGTTGTATTTCAAATAGATCAATTTTGGGTGGAGAATTTGGGGGTGTTATATGAACCATCGTCCCCCTCATGATATTTACAAGAAGTATTTATAGGCATAAAATTAGATTACAACTAGTGGGCCGTTGAACGGGACTAAAGTAGTTACATATGAATTTAGATAAATTATTATGTAAGAAGTAAGAAAAAGTTAATAGTGAATCAATTAATTGAAAACATAAGTTAAAGTAAGATGTCATGTTTAGTATGAAATTAAAAATTAATGCTCAAAATTAAATATTAATCATGATATCGTAAATAGGTGTGCATATTTGTCCACAGAATTGTCAAAAAAATTACTCCCTCCGTCCCGCTAGAAGGTTCCCCTGAACGGTTTACGATGCTTGACCGACGATAAAACAATTTAATCCCTGTGCACACTCCGTTTATTTTAGTAAATAAAATTTACATATTCAGAAACTACATTAAAACCGCTACAAAGCCTAATAAAAAAAATGTAAATTTGATAAATAAAGTAAAAGATTAAAATGATTTAAGTTGACCATGAGAAGAGTGGATTGGAAACTTCTAATGGGACGGAGGTAGTATAAATTATAATAAACTTCTTGGTTAACAAGTTCAATGCATACTTTGTAAGTTGTCCGTCTTCATCAAATATGACAAACTTCAACCCAGATGGACTTGTTACTCTCAATACCGCCACGTCCAACTGTGAATTGTCCATGCGTAAACACAGGCCGTTGGAGGAAGTTGCCTACCTTTTCCAATGATTGTCCCTGACTCTTATTAATGGTCGTTGCATAGCTAACCATTAACCAAAACTGTCTGCACTGAAAAGTGAAAGGGAGTCTAAACGTCTGATGGTGTTAAACTAAGACGAGGAATAGGAAACTTTTCACCAGCATTTTTTTTTTCTGTGCATCATCTGAGTCTCGATAATATGATCTCCAAGTTTAGTAACCAAAAGTCGTGTGTCATTGCACAATCCAAATGAATTATCTATATTTCTCCTAAACATCACATGAACCCTCACTTTTAGCTTTAAGTAATGACTCGGCAAACCTGAACATTTAATGCTATTTAGAAATTCAGGAGAATTTATCTCAAGTTAGATATCATCATTTGAGCTAGGTGAAGAAGCTCAATCTGAGCTTAGATAAATTTTAAACTCCGTCTATCTGACTCAACATGTGATCGTTCATTATATCAACCTCACCAATGGTCGGAGCAAGAATATCCCTGGAATAAAGATAAGAATTTGGATCACTCCGAGTCAAGAAGTCGGGATAAATAGCTTGAACAATAGATTAAACATGATCGGACGTCATTGGAGCAATCATATCGTCCGGTATTTCAATGAATGATTCTCAATCCCGATTTTCTGCAAAAGTGTCATCCCATATCTTTAAAATCCAATCGGCAAAAGATTTGATTGATGGTCCATCAAGCTCACCCACCATCCTTGCTAGCCTCATGTTTTTAGATAGTCTCACGGTACAAAAAGACAAAAGAAATGAGTTGTTTAATGATGCGTGCACAATATCTTGTCTCGTGCCTTTTGAAATCACATGAAGTATCTGCCTAAAGTCACCACCAAATACAATAGTCTTTCCACCAAAAGGCAAGCTCGCATCACAATGGCTGGAGTGTTTAAGAACATCTCTCATACTCCTATCAAGAGCCTCAAAACAGTGTAAGTGTGTCATCGACGCCTCATCTCACATAATCAATCTGGATAACTAGATGAGCTTGGCCAATGGACTACCATGTTTTATGTTGCACATCGAGTCTTCTGTCACGTTGCGTGGAATCGCAAATCTCGAATGTGCAGTCCTTCCTCCTAGTAAGAGAAGTGATGCTATACCGCTGGAAGCCACGTTAAGCTCTATGTCACCACGAGATCTCACTGCTGCAGAAAAAGTCTCCCACAGATATGTTTTCCAAGTTCCTCCATTGTCATATAAAAAGTAGAAACCCCCATTTCTGCGATCTACAGATTTCATGATTTTGTCATACTCCTTTTGAGCTGTAAGGCCATTGTTTCTGTAGCTCCCAATCTTGAAGATCAATTCTCAATCAATGAGATCCAAGATATACCATTGTGAACGTCAGAAGTTGATAAAGTGTCTTGCATAAAAGAAGAAAATGATTAATGTTATCACATGGTCATAATGTTAATGCCAGAGAAAAATGAACCAACATTATAAATGAACAATTTACCATGTTAAGACAGTCATTTGGTTCATTTGTTGCTTTCTCGATCAGCTTACATGACACCTCATCTCACATGACTACTTCAGCAAAACGGTTACCATGTTTGACACTCAATTTCAACATGCATCTCCAAATACCTGCCTGTTTCACCTCTCGACAGTTGTAGACTTGTAGCAGTAAAGTGACGCTCCCTAATATTTCAACTTTTTAAAGCAAGTCTTGGCATTGCATCCCAAATAAGCCCAATTCTTTACTGAGAGGGTTGAATCAATCTGAGCGTAAAACCATCAACACTTAACCTATATATCAAAGTGCTTCATAATGAGTTCCAATTTTTTAAATGAGAGAATTAAACTAATTTTTATGTTGTTTATTAATTGTATCTTATCTTTTTTATTTTATTTTTGGTTCTTGTTTTTATCATACCTTAAGTTTTATCTATTTCTTATTATTATTTTTTTATCATTTTTACTCCTATTTTATATGTTGATTCATGTTAGGCTGTTAGCCAATTCCAAACTCTTCCAAAATCAAGACATGATGTTTTGTTAGTGTTGAAAATATTAACATATAAATTCCTTACATAGGTTACTCTATCTGCATATAGATTCATATACAGATAGTTATCTATAATAATCAATAATAAATAGGTAATTAAAAACTGAATGAATTTGAATATAATCACCAAAAAATAGTTTTGTTTAAAATTTAGCATAGAATTGATAACAGAAAATGGCCATAAATCTACTCAAATGTAAAAAAATAAGGAACTCAGAACCATTATTTTCTTAGATTCCACTAGTTAAAGATCAATGTTTTAACTTTCAGTACCAACTTCAATCTGAAAATGTATATATCTTAGAAAATGTAAGAAGATTAACTTGAAAAGTAAGTTTATAGTTGAAAACTTGAGAAGTAAGTGCAACATCACATTTTTTTTAATAACATATTTCGGAAAATATTTAAAAATATAGGTAAAGGTGTATCAAAAAAATAGATTAATATATACAATCTCTTTAATAAAAAGCTTTCAGAAGCCAGGAAAATCATTTATTTCGAAAATGATTTCAAAATACAGTTAAGTCTCAATAGCAGTCATAGAATATTGTATAACCTTATTATCCTCATCTATTTTGGGCTTGTGAATATTGAAAAGTATAGGAATAAGTGATCAAAAAAGCATTTTACAAAACGCTTTCTGAACCATACTGGTGAATATTATTATTTTTTAGAAGCATACTGGTGAATATTATCATTGTTAATGCATTCATATTTAGATAGTTTTTGTTTGAACTAATTGAGCAATAACCACGAAATAATATAAAATTTTACCTCTTTAGCTGTCTCTAAATCAGAAAGAGACATGGTAAACCCGACATCAGTAATGTCATCTCTCAGAGTAACACAAGATGAAGTTGTTTGGCTTGGAATACACTTGGTGGTTTGTCTTGAAGTCAAATACCTATATGTATTCATAATTTATAATATAAATATAAATCATAATTTGAACACATACAATTAAGTTACGAAGAACAAAGAAAAGGACCATTTCTGACAGCGGAAATCCTCAATATCTGGAATATGTTCATCCAAAAATAACTTTGTAGCATACCATGAGAAAGCTATTCTAATCTTATCCCCTACATGTCGAAAATGTATACTTTAATGAGAATATACAAACACTATTGCAAAGTATCAAATAGTTATACACACAGACGTATCATATCTTTAGTTTCTGCGACACGACTGAAGAATATATAAAATTAGATCTTATAAAGCAGCGGGCAAAAAATTCTCAACTTGAAGCACATATTCACCGTACACAGTACAACATAACACACTCTCGCCCCTGCACAATAGTACAATCAAAGCGTAAGTATAACAAGAAATTTAAATATTACGATAAATAATTCATAATTCATATATAATAGGCAAGAGATAGTTTAAAGGAAACTTAACTCCAAGTTTGTCAAACGGAAATCAGCATACCAATCACCTTTCTTTGTTTACTGCTTTATAATTTTTGAGCCAGATCATAAGCACCAATAATAAGGAAACAAAACCACAACTGCATATACGAATAGTATGTGTTTTAATTGAAAAAAGTACCTATCAAATAAGGATCTTAACTGCTTTGCAGCTTCTGAATATCCGCGAAGCTGGAAAATATGAACCTAGATGGCGGAAAACTAAGACCGCTTGTTTGTTCTCGGTACTTTAATTTGGGTACAGAGTAAACTCAAAGCGGTATGAATGACCAGTGAGTCTATATTTTCCTTCGTTATCCTTCACATTTAGGTGCGCGATAACATAAATCAATCCTTCTTGAACATATTCGAATTGACGAATAAGTTGTATTGAAATTGTGGCTTGAATTGTCACACGCTAGTAAAAGCATTAATAATGAATTGGTACTTAAATTACCTTTAAAACCATCAATCAGACAATCACTAAACAAATTAAGATTAAAATGAATAAAGTTAAAAGGTAAAACACAAATGTATAAAAAGTCAGCAAGAGTGTATGTAAAAATTGTAAAGGTTCAGAGTTTGAATGATCAAAAAAGCATACTCCTTTACTAAAAAAACTAAAGAAAATATTCATGTCCAAATGAACCAAGAATACCAATTTTTCAATGGACAGTTTTTTTTAAACTTAAAAATATACTTGATAGAGTATATATCTACAAAGAAGGGAGAGCTAGAAAGAGAAAGTGCTGGTAATTAATATTTCACAACCCCCATAACAACCCCTAGGGGGCTATTTTATAGGGAAAATGTGGGTTTGGGTCCCAAGACTCGGGTCCGGGAGGCCCGATACAAAATTAGACCTCTAATGGGCCGAATACATGATTTATAGAGCTAAGTACAAATTATAGTTTGTTGGAGTCCCATTGGCCGAAGAAGGGCCTGGCCGATGGAGGGCCTGACCGATGGAGGACCAAACTTCTGCTCTTGGGCTTCCGGGCCGTATTTTGTGAGCTGGTCTTCCTGGACGAAGGAGGTCCAAGTCGATGAAGGACCACATGGGTGTCAGTTGTCCTCTTATTAGTCTTCTGAGTATGTGGGCCACCGGGTCCGTGCCCATATACTTTATCAATACTATACTAAACAAAATAATATTATCATATTGGGCATCAGTATTTCCCGGCCACATTTTTTCTCAAGTCGTAATGCAACTTGTTTGTGTCAAGAAAATGTGGACATATTTTTCATTTTGTTCTACAAAAGATAAAACTTTTGGTTTCCCCCAAGTTACTCTATAGGACAGTATTGTGATCACAATTTACTGAAAAAATCTGCAAGTGATTTGCTAAAAAATAATCAATTGTATGTAGTCAAAGTGTGTACTGAAAATGAATAGATTGTTACATTTCAATTAGGAATGTAACAATAAACTAGATTTGAAGAAAATGCAGATGTGTACAATAGAGCAAATATAAAAAGCCATTTGTAGTATATGACACAGAAAAATAATTGTAACCTTTTCATCCATCAAAATCATTTCAACGGATTTGATTGCTGGATTTTTCAATCCAAACTTGTCATTTCATTTTCTAGTGACCATCACCATAAAAGCAACATCCTTTGGTAAGTTCCGAACAACATCTTTCAATACTTCTTCATAGGTGGAATTGTTCCTATAAATGAAGTGATTGAGACAGATAAGGACATGGTAAAGACAAGGTAATTAAGAAAGAGCAATTTCAGTAACACTGGGTAAATAAAATTTAACATCTACAATAATTAGACACTAATAGAGATTCAATTAACTGAAGAAATTAAATATATGTACCATAAAATAGCAATCAATTGATAAGCTTTTGAATGGATGAGAAATATGTAATTAAAACAAGTTGTAATAGCAATTAGTTGATAATATTGACACCTGCTACCACAACTATTTCATTCTCATCTTATCGATATTACTTTACCATCTATAAATACTCCTTCATCACCATACCTCATGCCACAACTATTCATCTTCTCCTCTTCTTATTTTGCTCTTATTTAAACAATTATAAGGTAACTATAAGGTAATTTCATTAAATTACTGCAATGCTGCGTATTACTTTAACATTCATGTTTTCGAACTTCCTCAGTTTTTTTTTTTATTTTAGATTTATAATGGTAACATCACTTCTATTTTGTTTCACATTTAAATTCTGATATTTATCATTAACCATTAATATCTTCTTAAGAAATTAATGAATCATTATTGTATATATTTAAACTACCTTGATTTTAATAACAAATAGTAGAGATATTAAAATTTACTTACCATTATAACTAGGGTTCCTCTTTATCAATGATAATTATTTATTAATGATCTTTAATGATCAGTTTATTTTAATCACTTTTTTGTGGGATTGATTTGAACAATGACTGATAATTGTATACATTTAAACTACCTGGAATTTAATAACTCAAATATAATTTAAAGGAATAGTAGAGATGCTAAAATTTAGTTACCTGGTACAACTAAAATGTCAGGTATTGATTATTGTTTATACTCCAAACTTAAGAAAATCCCCCAGAATTTTAGTTGTACCAGGTAACTAAATTTTAACATCTCTATTATTACTTATTAAAATCCATGTAGCTTAAATATATACAATAATCGATCATAGTTTAAATATATCCCACAAAAAGTGATTAAAATAAACCGATCATTAAAGATCATTATTTTTAATACCTATTTTAGTAAAACTAGGTCACTAATTTTGGTACTAATAAATAATTATCATCATTAAAGAGGAACTCTAGTTATAACGGTAAGTAAATTTTAATATCTCTATTTTTTTTTGAATAATTTAATATCTCTACTATTAGTTAATAAAATCTAGGTATTTTAAATATACACAATAATCATTATTTAATTTCATAAGAAGAAATTAATGGCTAATGATAAATATCTGGATTTAAATGTGAAACAAAATAGAAGAGATGTTACAAATATAAATCTAAAAATTTTTAAAAAATGAGGAAGTTCGAAAACATATATATATATATATATATATATATATATATATATATATATATATATATATATATATATATATATATATATATATATATAAAGTAATATGCAGTATTGCAGTAATTTAATGAAATTAATAGAACAGATAATTACCTTGTGATTGTTGAAATAAGAGAAAAATAAGAAGAGGGGAAGATGAATAGTTGTGGCAGCAGGTATGGCGATGAAGGAGTATTTATAGATGGTAAAGTAATATCGATAAGATGAGAATGAAATAGCTGTAGTAGCAGGTGTAGGTCAAGTCTTATCAACCGATTGCTATCACAACTTATTTTAATTACAGATTTCTCATCCATTCAAAAGCTTACCAACTAATTGCTATTTTGTAGTACTTATATTTAACTTTTTCACTTAATTAAACCCCTATTAATGTCTAATTATTGTAGATGTTAAATTTTATTTATCCAGTGTTACTAAAATGGTTTTTTCTTAATTAATATCATGTCTTTATTTGTCTCAACCACTTCATTTATAGGACCAATTCCACCTACCAAGGGTGCTTTAATGGTGATGGTCACCATAAAATGGAATGACAAGTTTGGATCGAAAAATCCAGCAATCAAATCCGTTGAAATGATTTTGATGGATGAAAAAGTTACAATTATTTTTCTGTGTGATATGACTTCAGTGGCTTTTTATATTTGCTCTATTGAACACATCTCGATTTTCTTCAAATCTAGTTTATTGTTCCATTCCTAATTGAAATGTAACAATTTCTTCATTTTCAGTAAACACTTTGATTACATACAATTGATTATTTTTTAGCAAATCACTTGCAGTGTTTTCGGTAAACTGTGATCACAATACTATTTGTCCTATAGAGTAACTGGAGTGAAACCAATTTTTTTTGTCATCGTAGCAAAAAAAAAGAAAAATATGTCCACAGTTTGTTGACTCAAACTAGTTGCATTACAACTTGAGAGAAATTGTGGCTGGAAAATATTGATGCCCAATATGAGAATATTATGTTGTTTAGTATAATATTGGTAGACTATATGGGTTCGGACCTCATGCCCCACATGCTCATAAGACTAATACAAGGACAACTGGCACCCACGTGGTCCACGGAGACCGGCTCACAGAATACGACCCAAAAGCCTAGGAGCAGAAGTTTGGTCCTCCATCGACATATCCATTCTTCGGCCAATGAGACTCCAACAAACTAGATTTTGTACTTAGCTCTAGAAATTATGTACTCAGTCCATTAGAGGAATTTTGTACCGGGCCTCCCGGTCCAAGTCTTGGGACCCCAACCCCACATTTTCCCTATAAATAACCCCTAGGGGTAGTTATAGGGGTTGAGAAATGTTAATTACCAGCACTCTCTCTCTACTTCTTACTTCTTTCTAGATCTATACTCTATCAAGTATATTTTTAAGTTTAAAAAGATCTATCCATTAAAAAAATGGTATTCTCGGTTCATTGGGACAAGAGTATTTTCTAAAGTTTTTTTAGTAAATGAGTATGCTTTTTTGGATATCATTCAAACTCTGAACCTTTACAATTTTTACATACTCTTGCTGAATTTGCATACAGTTGTGTTTCACCTTTTAACTTTACTCATTTTAATCTTAATTTGTGTACTGATTGATAGTTTTAAAGGTAATTTAAAGTACTAATTCATTATTAATGCTTTCACTAGCGTGTGATAATTCAAGCCACTATTCCAATTCAACTTATTCGTCAATTCGAATATGTTCAAGAAGGATTGAATTATGCTATCACGCACCTAGATGTGAAGGATAACGAAGGAAAATATAGGGTCACTGGTCATCCATACCGCTTTGAGTTTACTTCATACTCCAAATTGCAGCATCGAGAACAAACAAGTGGTCTTAGTTTTCCACCATCTAGGTTCATATTTTCTAGCTTCGCGGATATTCAAAAGCCGCAAAGAAGACAAGATCCTTATTTGATAGGTACTTTTTTCATTTTTTATTGTAGGTACTTTTTTCAATTAAAACACATACCATAATTATATGTTGTTGTGGTTTTGTATCCTTATTATTGGTGCTTATTGGCTCAAAAAATTATAAAGCAAAAAAACAAACAAAGGTGATTGGTATGCTGATTTCCGTTTGACGAACTTGGAGTTAAGTTTCCTTTAAATTATCTCTTGCCTTATATGTGAATTATGAAGGGCGATTTTGCTGATTTTGCTTTGATTATACTATTATGAAGTGCGAGAGTGTGTTATGTATTGTGTACGGTGAATATGTGCTTCAAGTCGAGAATTTTTTGCATGCTGCTTTAAAAGATCCAGTTATATTTATTCTCCCGTCGTGCCGCAGAAACCAAAGATATGGTGCGTCTGTGTATATTCTCATTAAAGTATACGTTTTCGACATGTAAGAGATAAGATTGGAATAGCTTCCTCATGGTATGCTTACAAAGTTGTTTTTTGATGAACATATTTCGAGGATTTCCGCTGTCGGTAATGACCCTTTTCTTTGTTCTTCGTAATTTAATTGTATGTGTTCAAAATTTTATTTATATTTATATTATGAATTATGAATACATATAGGTATTTGACTTGAAGGCAAACCACCAAGTGTAATTTAAGCCAAACAACTTCATCTTGTGTTTATTCTGAGAGATGACAGTAGTGATGTCGGGTTTACATGTCCTTTTCTGATTTAGAGACAGCTCTAGAGGTAAATTTTATATTATTTCCGTGATTATTGCTCAATTAGTTCAAACAAAAACTATCTAAAACTGAATACATTAAAATAATATTCACCAGTATGCTTCTATAATAATAATAATAATAATAATAATAATAATAATAATAATAATAATATTCACCCGTATGCTTCAGAAAGCATTTCTGTAAAATGCTTTTTTTGATCACTCATTCCTATACTTTTCAATATTCACAAGGCCAAAATAGATGAGGATAATAAGGTTATACAATATTCTATGAGTGCTGATTTAACTGTATTTTGAAATCATTTTCAAAATAAATGCTTTTACTGGCTTCTGAAAGCTTTTGATTAAAGAGATTGTATGTATACTAATCTGTTTTTTGATACACTTGTACCTATATTTTAAAATATTTTTCAAAATTTGTTATTAAGGAGATATGTGATGTTGCACTTAATTCTCTGGTTTTCAATTATACACTTACTTTTCAAGTTAATCTTCTTACATTTTCTAAGATATACATTTTCAATTTAAAGTTGGTATTGGAAGTTAAAACATTGATCTCTAAGTAATGGAATCTAAGAAAATAAAGGTTCTGAGTTCTCTTTTGTTTTACATTTGAGCAGATTTATGACTATTTTATGTTGCCAATTCTATGCTAAATTTTAAACAAAACTATTTATTGGTGATTATATTTAATTTATTCAGTTGCTTAACCTATTAATTACTGATTATTGTAGATATATAAACTATCTGTATATGAATCTATATGCAGATAGAGTAACCTATGCAAGGAATCTATATGTTGATATTTTCAACACTAACAAAACATAATTCTTGGTGTCGAAAGAGTTTGGAATTGGCTAACATGAATCAACATGTAAAATAGGAGTAAAAATGATAAAAAAAAATAATAATAAAGAAATAGATAAAACTTAAGGTTTAATAAGCAATATAAAATGTAGTTGAATTCTCATTAAAAAATTGAAGCTAACTATTAAGCTAACTGTTAAGGGTTGCTGGTTTTACGCTCAGATTGATTCAACCCTCTCAGTAAAGAATTGGGCTTATTTGGGATGCAATGCCAAGACTTGCGAAGTTGAAATATGAGGGAGTGTCACTTTACTGCTACAACTGTCGAGAGGTGAAACAGGCAGGTATTTGGAGATGCATGTTGAAATTGAGTGTCAAACATGGTAACCATTTTCTTGAAGTAGTCATGTGGGATGATGTGTCAAGTAAGCAGAACGAGAAAGCAACAAATGAACTAAATGACTGTCTTACCATGGTAAATTGTTCATTTATTATGGTATTTCATCTTTCTCTGGCATTAACATTATATCCATGTTATAACATTAATCATTTTATTCTTTTATGAGGGACACTTTATCACCTTCTGACGTTCACAATGATATCTTGGATCTCATTGGTAGATAATTGATCTTCAAGATCGGGAACTGCAGAAACAATGGCATGGCAGCTCAAAAGGAGTATGACAAAATCATGGAATCTGTAGATCGTATAAATGGGGGTTTCTACTTTTTATATAGTACGAAGGAACTGGGAAAACATATCTGTGGAAGACTTCGTCTGCAGTAGTGAGATCTCGTGGTGACATAGAGCTTAACGTGGCTTCCAGCGGTATAGCATCACTTCTCTTACTAGGAGGAAGGACTGCACATTCGAGATTTGCGATTCCACGCAACGTGACAGAAGACTCGATGTGCAATATAAAACATGATAGTCCATTGGCCAAGCTCATCCAGTTATCCAAATTGATTATATGGGATGAGGTGCCGATGACACACCGACACTGTTTTGAGACTCTTGATAAGGGAGTATGAGAGATGTGCTTAAATATTCCAGCCATTGACAAACGAGTTTGCCTTTTGGTGGAAAGGCTATTGTATTTGGTGGTGACTTTAGGCAGATAGTTCTTGTGATTCCAAAAGGCATGAGACAAGATATTTGTGCACGCAGCACTAAACAACTCATTTCTCTGGTCATTCTGTATCGTAGTGAAACTATCTAAAAACATGGAGGGTGAGCCTGATGGACCAGCAATCCAATCTTTTGCGGACTGGATTTTAAAGATAGGAGATAATACTTTTGCAGAAAGTGGGGATGGAGAATCGCTCATTGAAATACCGGATGATATGATTGATCCAATGACATTTGATCCTGTTGAATCTATTGTTCACGCTATTTATTTCAACTTCTTGACTCAGAGTGATCCAATTGCTTATCTAATTCTAGGGCTATTCTTGCTCCGACCATAGATGAGGTTGATAAAGTCAACGATTACATGTTGAGTCATATAGATTCGGAGTTTAAAACGTATCTAAGCTCAAATTCAGCTTCTTCACTAGTTCCGATGGTAATCTCTTACATGAGATACATTCTCTCGAATTTATTAATAACATTAAATGATGAGGTTTGTTGAGCCATGAGCTAAAGCTAAAAGTGGGGTTGCCTGTGATGCTTATGAGGAATATAGATCATTCATTTGGATTGTGTAATGACACACGACTTTGGTTACTAAACTTGGAGATCATATTATCGAGACTCAGATGATGCACGGAGAAAATGCTGGTGAAAAGTTTCTTATTTCTCGACTTACTTAACACCATCAGACGTCAGGGACAATCATTGGAAAACGTAGGCATCTTCCTTCGACGGCCCGTTTCTACATATGGACAGTTGTATGTGGCGGTCTCGAGAATAAAAAGTACATTTGGGTTGAAATTTGTCATATGTGATGAAGATGGACAAGCAAGAAAGTCTGCATTGAACGTTGTGTACAAAGAAGTTTATAATAATTTATAATTTTTTTGACAATTCTGTGGACAAACATGCACACCTATTTACGATACCGTGATTAATATTCAATTTCCAGCATTAATTTTTAATTTCATGTTAAACATGACTTCTTATTTTAACTTATGTTTTCAATTAATTGATTCACTATCAACTTTTTTCTTACTTATTACATAATTTATCTAAATTCGTATGAAACTACTTCAGTCCCGTGCAACGCACGGGTGGGGTAACTAGTTGTAGTATAATGTTATGCCTATAAATACTTCTTGTAAATACCATGAGGGGGACGATGGTTCACATAACATCCCCAAATTCTCCACCCAAAAAAAATTGATCTATTTGAAATTCAACTTTTATTATTATTATTATTATTATTATTATTATTATTATTATTATTATTATTATTATTATTATTATTATTATTATTATTATTATTATTATTATTATTATTATTATTATTATTATTATTATTATTATTATTATTATTATTATTATTATTATTATTATTATTATTATTATTATTATTATTATTATTATTATTATTATTATTATTATTATTATTATTATTATTATTATTATTATTATTATTATTATTATTATTATTATTATTATTATTATTATTATTATTATTATTATTATTATTATTATTATTATTATTATTATTATTATTATTATTATTATTATTATTATTATTATTATTATTATTATTATTATTATTCTTGGTATATAGTATATATTACGGTATGATGTATTACGTACTTACTAAAATAAATCTCATTGATTATATTAATGCTCAACAACTAGTCCAATAGTGTTATAATTTGCTGAGCCCAAGATTGTTAAAAAAAATCAGTCTGGTAGCTCTACAACTCCAACCCTTAATTAATTAATCAAATAATTCCTTAACATAAAATACAAAAATGAGTATTTTATACTTTATTCCAATCTATCACTTGAAAGTGAGCCAATTAGATGCAGTTCAAACCAATATCAAGTTCATGCTCAAATGGTCATATTTACCACCCTAATGTTAATGATATATGTTATAAATTAATATAAAAATATTAAACTAAAAAGGAAGTATAAATTCAAGTACCAGATTAAAAGATGTAATTAAACACCATATTTGAAACCATTTAAAAGAGAATCACATGAGAAAGATAAAAGAATATCCTCAAGCTTACACATTTTCTCATTAAGGAACTCTTCCTGAGATCCTTGCACAAGCTACACAACAATAAAAGCTTCACCATTAGCAACTATTTAAACATAATCAAATTTCCATAAACCGTATGTCATTACTAATTAATGGAAACCAATGCAAATAACCAAAAAACCAGAACACCCGATGTTATAGAAACAATTTTTCGGTTTTAACTTTGATGTAGAACCCCCAATGTAATAGATATATACGTAGAAGAAACCCAGAATCAACAATATATGTAGTCATTTATCAACAATGACTAAATTTGAAATTTCATTGGAAAATTGGTGCTCCAAGGGAATTTTTTGTATATAAACATGTCAATGTGAAATCAAAATCATGCTCAATTGAAAAGTAAATAAAAATTTAAGAACAAGAATTTGCTCAATTGGCTAAAATTATATACATTGGCATATCAAATAAGACACTCACAGTAACTTTTGAAGAAAGTATTCATACAGTCCAAACCTAGTTAGTAAAAATGAGTCAATTATGCTCAATTGGTTAAAACTTAGTGAAAATTTTGGCTTAAACCATGTAACCTTAATAGGTGAGATAATGTTTCACTGAGCCACTTACATGCAGTCCAAACAAAAAAATAGACAGCACCTAAGCATTATTCATGTAGTATATAATCAATATCATGCAAAACTATAGTTAATAAAACATATATATTATTAAACCTAAAGGGCTCGGTTGGAAAATAGTCCGAGTAAATGATACCTCTAATTGACTAATTCTCAAGGGCAGATTTGAAGTTCTTCACTTGCACGTTGGAGGCGAGCTTGTGTCAAACTGGAAAGGACATTTATTATATGTGAATGTTAAAAAGTATATGAATGAAAAGTATAGGAATACATGAATCAAAGAACGAATTCATACCCTTGTTAATTTTGAATTGCAGTGTAATCTGCAAATGTATAATCAATCTTTCTTTTATTCATCCCAATTACAATAGGTCCATCAGCCTTATGTGAAATGGCATTACCTCCGTGCATGATAGGATCCCAAGATGAACAGGTTCTTCATCTCATTCGGTTTGATATTCGATTTTAAAATGTCAGAACCATAGGACTAGTGTAACTTCTATCTCATAACTTTCGTATTTAATGTGTCTCCTTAACGTGTAAGTTCCTTCAGGTGATTACATCCGCTATCAATTGTATTTATTTGTTAAGGAATTTATTTCAAATACGCCCTAAGAAAGTCTGACTTCCATGAATTTTTTGATGGGCTTGAAGCTTGAAGTCCAAATCGATTCATGTGTGGTCAATCTCGTAGTGGTCTTGGATCTCCCTGCGCAGGCCCCTGTGACTGACTCGTTCGTTCTTAATTATTACAAGCCTTTTTCACTCCAAATTGGGCTGATAAGAAACTACATACCCATTCGAGTTGGGCTATAGATCAAGCGCATAGTACCATCACAGTCCATTTTAAAAACATCCGGATCCTAAAATTGGGCATGCATCCTCATCTTATTTAAATCTAGATGTATAGGGAGTACTAACTAATTAGATAATAATACGGAGTAATTGAGAAATACTCTCTCCGTCTCGCAATTAAATTTACATTTTGACTTCACACAGATTAAGAAAATAAATTTGACTTTACTGTGGAGTGCACTGTTTTGCGCTGTTTAAACACTGTTTGAACACTGTTTGACGCTATTTTGATGTAGATAATTTGCCAAATAAGGAAAGTTTTGAAGTGTGAAGTTAATTTCTGGACCGTCCAAAAAAGAAAGTGAAAAGTTGTTTGCGAGTTTACGACGGAAGGAGTATCAATTTGAATAATGTAAATGTTTCGTTGCATCTATTAATGCTACTAGTGGTTGAAATAAAATTGGCTCTTAATTTGAAATTAAAATCGGGTAAGATAAACACAATTTATAGTGTTTGAGTAAGACTGAAATTAGGAAACTACTACAAGTATAAATATATATTCCCAATCCGCGCCGTAGAAACCCCTGCATGATCGATTTCTTTCAGCCGAAGGCACATGTGAACAATCCCCTACTTGGTATTTGGTAAGCCTCCATCTCTCCACGCCTAAGTAATGTACGTACTACTACTACACCGCCATATATAAACTCCATCTGTATAATTATAAATAATTCATCAACAATATATATATATATATATATATATATATATATATAATGAAAACTTGAACAACCATTTTTATCTATTGCCAGGCCAATTTTATAAATTATAATCTAGCTAATTCGAGGCGACTCGGTCTCTTTCAGCGGGAAGCCCGGCCTTTCAAACAAGTATTGGTGATCGAGTAAGTTCATTTTTTCATCCTATCGAATATCGATCTGATCTATATATACATGAATCACTGACTAATCATTATAATTGGGTTTAATTAAATATAGTTTTTAGTATATTAATGAAAGCTTGATTCTTTTAAATATATTAAATTCGAGTGATTAATTATGTGTGTATGGGTGGATGTACATGGAAGCTGGAAACGTGATTTGATAACGATGAACCTGCATTTTTAATGAGAAATTAAAGCATTATACATATATTGCGCGTGTTTGACATTTAACGATTAGTAGATTACGTTAACGAGTTGTCAATTGCGAATTCACTTAGCGGGTTGAATAAGATGACAGGTTGTCAAATGATCTTTGATAATTTAGTTGTTAGGCCATAAAATTAATTGAGAACGTTGATCCATTTCAGCGTTTCTGCCCAAAAACGCGCTAGTGCCGAATGGCTATTTACCAAATAGTTTTTCTCTTATTAAAAACGCTAAAAATGATCAAATTGTCATTTTTCAACTGAAACGATCAAAATAATTAATTAAAATAATTTACTCCTTACGTATCAATCAACTGAAGTTTCTATTGGGAATGAGTAATTAATGAGGTTATAATAAATCCACCTTAAAATAAATACGGATTACTACCTACTTCCAAACCACCACAATATAATGATGTGTTTCTCGACCTTTCGTTCTCTTCTGCCATTAATCTTGCACGGTGCCAAATTGGCAATATGGGATGATTTAAATTTAGATACACATAAAAATTACTACTCATATGTACTAAGTAGAAACATCTCTCTCTTTATTTGAACGGTCATATTCTTTTTAGTGAGTTTTTCTTCATAATATCAAGGACAATGTTTAGATCGATGTAGATATTGTGTTCGACATTGTTGACGAAAACCTACCAAAACTTAGAAAGAAGGGAAAACATTTCGTGAATGTATTAATTCTTTTGTGATTATATCGCTCATGTCACATATACACCGCATTGTAGCATTCGAAATACTCATATTTTAATATGTGATATACTTAAACTAGTCCATCAATCTAAACACATTCAGAAGACATAGATTTGTATATATCATCTAGTAAATTAAACAATCTTATCTAAAACTTAATATTACTGGTAATATATTTAATACTCTTTACTATATAGTAGTACAAGATAATTTCATGTTAGAGATAAATCTTGATATAACTACGTATTATCAAATATTTTAATTATTAATTATTGGATAATATTTAACTTATCACACGCTCATTAATCTACTATAAATTGAGGTTTTGATGAAAAGCATATTCTCGACTCAAACCAATCCATTCCGGCTCAAATAGTAATTTTGTAATTTTGGGCATAAAATAATAAACCAGGTCGCACCCTTCCTATGCCAGCTCTGAATGATCCTTGCACACTAGGAGACATTGCTAGCATCTACTACGGGTACTAGTAGCTAATATGTACTTCCATCCCACAATACAATACCCATTAAAGTTGGATTCAAGTTTTAGGGAAAAATAAAAAAGATATATAGAGCCTCTTTGGTGATTCTATTTTTCGGGTTATCAGACTTATCAGTCAACTTTTTAATCAAGCACATAATTTTAGATTGCGCGCACTGGGTTATGTAATAATACGAAAAGGTAAGGTTGAAGTTACTTTTGTGGCTGTATTGGCTGAAGTTAATGTAGATGACCATTTTAGCTATTTTTTCATATAATTTTTTTATCTTATTAATAAAATATATTTTAAATATAATTTTTTTCATAAATCAGCAGAATAAGCCGATACTAGGGGTGGGCACGGTCCGGTCCGGTCCGGTCCAATATTTTGCCGAACCCATACCGTTACTATTGAAACGGTTCGGTTCGGTCCTAAACCTAAACCCGTTCGGTACGGTCAATTTTCAAATGGGACGGTACCATGCCATACCAATACCAAACAATGCCATTTTTTCAAGTGTTTAAGGAAAAATTAAAGTTTAGTCATCTCAAAAAATCCACACAATTTACCAATTTTCGTATTTCATACTAAGTCCGTTTCAAATTGATTTGCAAAGTCAACCTTTTTGGTCAAATAGTTTATTTTTATTCACTTAATTAGGATTTCACTTTTTAATTATATTCTAATTATGATTAATATATGGTTGTGTTTATTTAAAAAAAATTATATTCTAATTTGCCCTTTCAAATAAAGTACTTCGTATATTCTATTTTAGAAACCACATTAAAGATTTTAATGTGGTTTCTAAATATGTAAATTTTAATTATTAAATTATTAATAATTGTATTAATTATCATTAGGTAGGGCTTAACATTAACATTGACTAAAAAAATGTTGACTTTGCAAATTAATTTGGGATGGATGAAGTAACAAATTTAAATAATTAAAGTATTAAACCATACTTCGGTCCGGTTCGGTCTGGTACCGGTTCTCATTTAATAAGAACCCGTCATGGCATTGTTTGGAACCGGTACGGTCCGATTCGGGACAAACAATTTGAGATCCGTTTCAAACCCCGTTTATCGGTCCGGTACCATGCCGGTCCGGTTTGGTGCCATGTCGGTTCGGTATTTTTGCCCACCCCTAGCCGATACAACTACTTCAGCCAGAACTTCGTAACTTTCAGCAGAATCGGCCGATTTCAGTGTTACCAAACGGGCCCATAATCGTTAATTTACAAATCTAACATGTGACATAAAAAAGTAAAAAAAATTAGCTTGCGATCACAAAAAGTTAAAAAATTAAGAGCCCGTTTTGTGACCCGGTTTTTCGGCTTATCGGGCTTATCAGCCAACTTTTTTACCAAACACGTAATTTTTTATTTTGCGTGCTGAATTGTGTAATAATAAGAAAAGGTAAGGTTGTAGTTACTTTTCTGACGGTATTGGTTAAAGATACTGTAGAGGATCATTTTCATTTTTTTTTTCATTTTTTCTTTATTTTATTAATAAAATATATTTTAGATATAATTTTTTCATGATTCAACAGAATCAGTCAATACAGCCACTTCAGTCAGAACTTCATAAATTTCAGTAGAATCAGCCAATAAAGCTGATTTGGGTATTACCAAAAGGACTCTAAATGATAGATAAAAATACGAAGTGGGAAAGAAAGTCATTGAGATGGTTTAGAATTAGGGATGGCAATGGGGCGGATCGGGGACGGTTTTACATATAACCGTACTCACCCCGTTTGGTAATTCCCCCGCCCCATAACCGCCCCATTACCCAACGGGTAATTTTTATCCAACCCATAACCGTCCCAACGGGTAACGAGTATAACTGCGGGCAACCGCGGGTAATCGCTTTATTAAATGATTCCTTTATATTTTAATATAAAAATAATATTTTAAAAGGAGAAAAATGGCATCACTTAAAAGACTCTAGACCCAGACGCCACTTTAAAAATACTTAATCTGAAAAATAATTAATCACAAAAAAACTGAAAATAATCAAACAATACTATTAAGATCTATTATAAACTTTCATTCATACACTATAGTTAGTAAATCTATTATTCATATATACACAATGAAAATAGAAAAATATCATCTTTTATTAGTTGCGGGACAAATAATAGATAAGAATGTAATAAAAATATAATTAAAAATAAACGGGGCGGGTACGGGGCGGGCATGTATAAAATCATAACCATCCGTTACCCGTAAAAACAAAACGGGTATTGCCCGCCCCGTACCCGTTATCCGGTCAATGCGGTTTTCCCCGTTTTGATCGGGACGGTTCGGTGCGGGTATCCATCGGATCGGTCAGAATTGACATCTCTTATTTAGAATACTCCGTATCATTTATACTTTTTGGATAATAATCTATCTAAAATCTTATAATAGCCAATGAGGGTAAGGGTGTTTTGGGTATTAAAAATGTGTTGGTGTAATCTATTGCAATATAAGGTTGTACATTTCATGGAAAACCTTGTACGGCCCTATTTCTGATGCAGCCTCTCCATTTACCTTCCGTTAATTAAACTCCGTTTTCTAACACCATCTAATTTTACATCTAATCCTCTATCTCTTACGGCCTGACACTTATGAATTTGGTGTTTGTTCTTTCCGTCTAATCCTCCTAACAAAACATCCTTAGGAATATAAGTAATCAGGCATTTTTTTTATTTTCATATAGGTAATCAGGCATTTTAATACTTTACAAGCATGTATATCAGTGTTTACAAAAATGTTTCCATCATTTGCAATGGAGTCAAAGATTCATTATTTTTTGGCTTGAGAATATGATGGAATAAAGCAAAATGGTACACTAAACTGTCTACGCTTCTTTGTTATGAAGCAGCAGTCAGTCTATGCAATTTTGGACGCGATTTTCACTCCGGGTCATCCGGAAACAGTCTCTCTGTGCTTTAGTACAAGGGTAAGACTGCGTACATCTGACCCCCCCTCTTACCTCACCGTAGGTCGGAGCCTTTGCGGCACTGGGGTAAATGAAAATGAAAATGAAAATGAAATGACAAGCATGTATATCAGTATATGTGCGCCACACACATTTGTATATATGACAATGACACTTATATAATGTACTACCTCCGTCCCATTTTATGTGTTTTAGTTTGACTCAACACGATTATTAATGAAGTGGTTGAAAAAGTAAAAGTTGTGGTTGAGATTTGAGGGAGTAGCTTATTATGATCCTTTTGGTAAAAAAAAAAGTGATCCTTTTGGTGGGTACATTTTGGTTTCAATAATGTATCAAACTGGTATTTTGAGTTCAGGTGTCTCAATGTTTCGTATATATTATTAAGAAAATTCTCACTTGTTTAACAAGGGAGTTCTAGAGAAGTGATCAATGTAACCCATTATTATTATTATTATTATTATTATTATTATTATTGTTGTTGTTGTTGTTGTTGTTGTTGTCGTTGTCGTTGTCGTTGTCGTTGTCGTTGTCGTTGTCGTTGTCGTTGTCGTTGTCGTTGTCGTCATCATCATCATCATCATCATCATCATCATCATTATTATTATACGGAGTAATTATTTAGGAGGTCGTTTGACAACACTATTTTTCAGCTTATCAGTCAACTTTTCACCAAACACGTATTTTTTGCTTTCGCGCGCTGAATTGTGTAATAAGCAGAAAAAATAAGGTTGATCTTACTTTTCTGGCTGTATTGGCTGAAGTTACTGTAGATGACAATTATATCTATTTTACATATAAATTTTTCTTTGATTTATTAATAAAATATATTTTTAAAATAATTTTTTCTTAAATTAGCAGAATCAGCCAATGCAGCCACTTCAGCCAAAACTTCTTAAATGTTAACAAACTCGGCCAAATTAGCTGATTCTACCAATCGGCTTCATATATGGTAACTAAGGTCATATATCTACTAAAATATTCTCTAAATACTACTCCATATAACTTACCCACACTCTTTTAGAGCAACTATTATATGACACCCTTAAGAAAAATCCAATAACACAGTCTAATATTATTCATTCTAGAAAATTATATTGGGCATTTATCTTTCGCGCATCGCGCGAAGTATAACTAGTAATAATAATAAAGATAGTACGTAGTATATCTTATAGATCGAGTAGAGAGCAGTAAAATGGATATAGAACCATTCATTGTCATAAATTGGTATAGTAACGCTTGTTTTTGGCAATTCTTTCTAACATCCATAATATCTCTTCAATGTTAAGACCAACATTCTTGAACTCGGATGAGATTCGAACATGTGACCTCCTCTTTGGGAGATGTCATCACTTGCAATAACGCTTTGTTTTAGGGCATCACATCTTTAATTAATTGTTTTGTTTTCGAAACAAAACCCAAAAAATGTAAATATTTTGAAATATGATGACCCTTTTCACTCTCCGCAATTTTTATAAGATGTAATTTAAATTGTATGATATCACATAAATATTATATAATGAAATATAGTTCTGACCGGCCAAGAACCACTTTTGGTCCTCGTTTAAGAAAGAACCAAAACTTTGAACAAAAACTATACTTCAAATTGGTCCTCGATAGTATTATTTTTATGCTTGGATTTTGAAAAATGACATTTGTATTCATCAATATCTTAGCGGCTTTAGAGCTTCTCCAACAGACCACCAAATCACACACCAAAATGGTGTATTTTCCAAAAACTTGCTCCAATATTTACACCATTCTTTACACCATCTCACCAAAATGGGGAGGGAGTTTGAGTTTATGCCATATATGGCGCACACCACCCCCTACGCCATCTTCTTCTTTTTTTAATTTTTTTTTTATTTCAAATGTGACCCAAACTTTTGGTTGTTATACTTTTGGCCCATTTTTAGAACAACAAATTAGGATGTTTTTACTTGGACTGTAATTTGCTGGTCTGGTCTAGTTTGGTCTTATCTGAACTGATCTGGTCTAGTTTCTTTGTATTTTTATAACTCAAGTCTGGTCTGATCTGGTCTTGGTCTGGTCTGAACTGATCGGGTATTGCTTTAAGTTTAAGTAGTACTTTATTAATGACGTACAAATTATTATAATATTATTGTAATATTTAATTTTATGTGGTTTTAGCTTGTATTTGTGAAATATTGATTATTGTATTTTAATTAGTGAAATGCGTGAAAATACATATTAAAATGGTGTATTTTAGTTTGTATGTGTGAAATAATGTGTGAAATGTCAAAATATTAAATTAGGGGCTAATGTATAAATATATGATAATTAGATATTTAAATAGAAGAATGGTAAAAAGTTAGTAAAAAGAATAAAAAGGGAATATTCATTTTTGGTGATAAAAACGGTGTAAACTATTGGAGATAAAATACTGTATGATGTGATGTTTACACCATTTTAGTGTAAAAAATGGTGTAAACTGTTAGAGATGGTGTTAAGATATACAAGTGCGGCCTTCACGCAAGAAATAATAATATTTGTCAGATTTTTCAAATTTGTAGTCAGGTTTTCATCTTTCATTTTGTGTTATGTTGTATAGATCTATCTAACCCCTAACAAGCTTTGTTCATTTATTACAGGGTTTCCTTTCTAGACGATCAATTTTTGCCAGAGTTTCAATGTCAAGAATGACAAACTCTCTTTATAGCGTATGAATGCACATAACTTTTTTCTCTGTCTCAATTTTAAATTTGCACTCTCTCATCACTAATTTCATTATTCTAATAAAATGTTTATGAATAGGTTGCACATAATGAGGACTTTATAAGTGAGCTTCCAGACGATATCCTTGCTTCAATTCTTTCTCGTACACCAACGTATATTGCTATAAGGACAAGTATTTTGTCGAAGAGGTGGAAGAATCTTTACAAATATGTGTCCAATGTAACTCTCTCTTGTGAGGATCTCTTGCGGGGTACCCATCACGGGCCACACTCTCAAACAGCGGTTTATAAGTTGCAAAGATACTTCGACAATTTTCACTATGGGTCGTCCAGAATACGTTTTGTGAGTTTGAGGTGTTGCATAAAAAAACCATGTGGACATCAGTTTGAGCAACTCATATACTCTTTAGGGAATCTAGGCATTGAAGAGCTTCACCTATGGTTATCTTGCAATGTGCCTTCGGATTTTGCTTTCAGTTGTGAGTACATTTCTCAAATACCTTCTGTCACTTTTTTAGTATTGGGTTCTTGTCTTCTAGTCGCGGGTTTTAGTGAAAAAATTTCGGCCCGTTTGGATAGAATGTTGGAAGGTGTCAGTAATGGAAGTGTCAGTAACCGTAAACTTCAAACTCTGGAACTAAGAGGCGTGACGCTACTTCCCGGATCGTTGGAGTTTGTTTTATCTACTTGTTTGAGGCTCCGCTCATTGTACATAGGTAAATGTGAAACTCCATCCAAATTGTGTATTGGTTGGGCCGACACGGATCTCCAGTTGAAGAGTCTTGTAGTTGAGTATTGCCGAGGTGTAGAGGAGATTGAAATATATGCTGCTAATCTTCAAACACTCGAGTTCCAAGGCAATAAAATGGTTTATATTAGATTTGATCAAGCCCCTATGTTGCAGTCTTTATATCTTTCCATTGAAAGTGAAAACATGATGGCTCATGTGTTTGGGAGACTTGCTAAAGATGTGTCAAGCCTTAAATCATTAACATTTGATTGTAAAGGTGATTTTTATCAGGTATGGAGGATAAGTATATACTCAAAATTTATTTATCCGTTGTATGATTTATAAAAGTATATACATATTTATATTTACTCATGTACACAGATACTTTCACACAAATACCATTCTATAATGTGTTTTTTCACATTCTTAGGAGAGCCAGAGACTTATGAGGATGGGAGGTATTGAAAAATTCAGCAAACTCAGGCGGTTAGAGTTGAATGTCAATTGCATGCCTAAGACAGATCTACTAGCACTTACTCCATTTTTGCAAAGTTGTCCCCTACTACAAGAGTTTCACTTGAATGTAAGTACTATATATCTAAGTAATTTGGTGGTTAATATTTAATTATTTGCATTAGTAGTTTGCCCTAAATTTAATCTTTTGAGCTTCAAAATAATGCTATAATAAGTGTGCACTAAATGATTTTTTGTTTGATAGTGCACTACATTTAGTAGAGCTACGGTTTTTCATAAAATTAATAAACATCATTCATATGAAAACAATGGATTTATAAATCAAGAGAGTTTATTCATAAAGTCTATAAACCTTTCTAAATCTCCAATGATTTAAAATGAGAATTTGACTTTACACCCCACTTTTTGAGTGATATTAATTATTAAACTTTACATCTCATTTAAAAAAAATGACTTTGCACTTCATTCCATCTCAAAATCCTTTGATTTTGCACTCCATTTATTAATGTTTCTTCACAAAATGTTATGTGATGGGATGCAAAATCAAAGTTTTTTCAAAATGAGGTGCAAAGTCCAATATCATCCCAAGTTCAAAATCAAATTCATCCTTTAAAAATCCAATTTATATACAACACACGTCTATGTTTAATTTTGGTGTCACTTTGAAGGTATACGATCCCACTTATGATCATGGGGAGGCAAAAGAGATAGAGCCCGCCATGGACAAACTTCCTCATCGTTATTATCACTTGAACTTGAAGAAGGTGGATATATGTGGTTTTGATGGGACTGAAAATGAGATAGAATTTTTGTTGTACATACTTAAAAGCGCAGTCATATTAGAGCAAATGCTTATCAGTAGCTCCGCCAAGAGTTATCGTGGCTATGGGAGGTGGTGGGAGCTAAAAAGGTCATGGAGTGAAGAGACTTTTGAGGTGATTCAAAGTCGATTGCAAGATGAGGCTGTTTCCTCAATCGCTCAACTCATTTTTGAAAATAATGTAATTTAATGTCCGCATGATTGATACATTTGGTATGTATTTTTCATGACAATTAAACATATTAATCCATTTTACCTCAGTCAGCCATTTTAATATTTACCAAACTCAGATTTAAACTTATTTATAATTTTATACATCATGTAAAAGATTTTTATTGTAGGGATCAAATAAGGGGTCTGATGGAGTATATGGCCCAGTGACCCCTGGCCCACAGACTCCTACTTCTAGGGGTGGGCAAATGGGTCTTGGAACCGCGGTCCGGTCCGGATAATGGCGGTTCGGGTCCAAACGGGCCGGTTCCATTTTTTGTTTCCATAAAACGGTCCGGGTAGGGTCGGGTAATTTTTTTTAAGGAACCGGACCGGTTCCAAAATTAAAAAATAACGGGTACCCGGCCCGGCCCGTTATATATATTGTATATTTATTTATTAATAGTTTTTTGATAATCGATTTTGAAATAGTTTTGTTTCCTGTGCTAGAAGTAGGATTTTGAATTGAGTTGCAGTAACATCCTTTTGTTTTCAAATTATTGATTAAATGTTTCATAAATATCTTTTTACTTTTTATTGTTATTGAATTATTCCTTTCTATCGAATTTAATTATTTGTTAAAGACAATTTTGTTATATTTTTTTTGTTATATTGTTATTAAAACATACAAGTATAAATTGTGTTTACCAATTGTGTTTACCACCCACCATGTATGTGTCAACTTTGGCTAATACTGAAAATTTAATATAAAAAAAAAGCAATCACTTAAATATGTGATGTTAGACAACATGTTTAAATACAAATGTTAGAAAATATGTATTTTGGCTATGTTGCATATTTTTGGAATTTCTTTAATTGTTTGAAACTTATATACAAGAAAATATGGAGTATTGGACTTTTCACTTGTGTTATATATGCACCACTATGTTGTTATTTTGAAACTTGCTAATGACCTATATTATTGATTATTGATTTTTGGAACTTCGTGAGTTTTTACTAATTTCAAGACATGAGAATAGAAACCGCAAAACCCGGACCGGACCGACCCATTTCAAACGGGCCGGGTAATTTCCGGTTCCTATTTTGAAAATTGTAATACCCGGACCGGACCGTACAATGGAACCGGCGGTTCCATTTTATTTTGTATTACCCGCCCCGACCCGGCCCGTGCCAAGCCCTACCTACTTCTCCTACACAAGCCCAATGAGCCCAATACACACCCAGGGCCCAAATACAGCAGCCCAAGTGTCAAGAAGCCCACAATACACATAGGGGTGCCTTCGGCCTCCTTGGCCGAGGGCTCCAAATCACACAGGGCAGCTAGATTTAAGCGCACTAAGCTGCTGGGAAAAAATGGCAGAAATCATGAGCCTTCGGCACTCTCATGCCTTCGGCGGCAGGGAAGCCTTCGGCTACACAGAGCCCTTGGCCGCTGGGAGAGCCTTCAGCTAAACAGCTCAATCATCGAAGATTCTCTTTGGAGACAAGCAACCACCGCATTTAATGCGGCGTCACATCCACCCACCGCCTTTAATGCGGTGCACATGCGAGTGTCGGTGCCACCCCGATTGGGGTGACCCCTCGGCCGTTAGATTGTCGCCACGTGTACTTTCATCGCATTTATTGCTGCTATAAATAGCACCCCCTTTTCCCATTGTAAAGGACGAGAACATCTCGAGTTCATTAATACAATCGCCTCTCTCTCTCTCTCTCTCTCCTACTTGTTTGCTCTGACTTCTTTCTAGGTTATTCTCATAATAACCCATCGGATAAGCTACCCCCGGTTACACTGTCCATCAGGGTTTCTATGACACCCACAAAGTCACAACCTCAGGACAATCAACTAAATAAGCAACCCAAACTGACACACAACCAAACTACCACACAAAACCAGCACTATTGCAGAATATAAAGCACAACAAAGAGCGGAAATAAAGCACATGGAGCACACATGATTTTTTACGTGGAAAACCCTTCAACGTGAATGATAAAAAACTACGGGACCTCTTGAGAAGTCCACCCTTAATTCTCTTATTGATAAATGAGAGTAAAAGAACCCCAAATCAGTCTACAAAGGATTCACAGCCCACCAACAATCACCAATAACATTAAGAGATCAAAATAGCACAATAAGGTGTAGAAATCACCCAAAACTGTAGGTCTGTTCGTGCAGTGTTTCTGACCAAATCAGAGCTCAACTGAACTATCCGACCGTTCAAAATGAAGCCCTTGAAGTCACGAACAAGCTGTCCAAATTTCATCAAATCCGACCACGGGAAGACCTCCGATCGATGATCTGAACGCAGTTGCGCAGTGCAGGTCAAAAAACGGGAATGCTGTCAATTTTTTTTTGTTTCAGCAAGATGGACTCCAAAAAACTTGTCTTAGAAGCCCAAAGCCCAAAATCAAATGGACCCAAAAATAGGACATAAAAGACCATCAAACAAGGCCCAAACATAAACAACAAAAACAATATAAAATATTGCAAATATGGACTAGACCCATAACATTTATTCCATCCTTGCAGTTTGTTATAAAAAATGGCCTAAAAATTGAAATATGTACCCATTATGTTTTAAGGTTTTTAAACATTTCCTAGATGAAGAAATGTTAAGACAATTTTTTATCATTTTTTAGTTTATATGTAAGCATCTCATTTTTATCACATTATTTAAAAAAATTGACTTTGTGACTTTATTATTATATCGTGTTAGATATCTAAACTTGTTGATTGTATGTATAGGTTTAAATATCATAATTGGGGACACCCCTATTCAAGGGCATAGCTATGGGGGCAATCCTAGCCCCGCCCTAGTCCAAATTTAAAAATATCTATGTTTTTACTTTTTAGTGTAAAATATTCAGTGTATTTGTTTTTTTTAAATATTCTTTGTATCGGTCCAGATCGACCAATTCTTTGTACCCAATTCCAGATTGGGTAAGTATGTATATTTAGGATGTTTTCTTTTGGACTGAAATATGCTAGTCTGGTCTGATCTGGTATGGTCTGGTCTGGTTAGGTCTGGTAAACGTCTGGTCTTTGTGTATTTTATAACTATGGAAGTCTAGTCTGGTCTGGTCTGATCTGATCTGGGACTAAAAACAGTCCAAAATAAACATCCTAAATCAATCAAATCTCTTCATTTTAAATATGTAGTAGTATATGATGTTGGTAAACAGGTAAAGTTATCATTATGTTTAAAAATAGAGCCTGCAGGGGTAGAGCCAGAGCACTGATGGAGGTAGTATATCTCTAACATTTACCATGTACGTATCTTACTATCTTATAAAGTGGCTAAGAGAGTTAACATGGGCCTCTTCCGTCAAAACAGTGCGGATGGAAGCTCGTTTTCGCGGTTCACACTGTTGTCTTCCGTTTGAGACAGCGAGATAATATCCAGCTCTTCCTCTTGCGATGCCAGATATAACTTCTTTCCTTTCTGAGCTCTTCGAATTGATAATCTAGGGTTCGCAAAATCCTTCCGCCGAAGCCACCCTGAGTATCATTGCTTCCCCAGTAAGATTTCTTATCCTATTTTGCTGTGTGTGATTGCCTTTCTTGTTCGAAATTGGTGGCTTTGGATGCGGCGGTAAGGGAACCACTTCCCGGCCAACACTTGCACACTCAAACAAACTCCTTCTCTGATGCTGCTCCGCTGGGATTCCCGCCCAAACCTTTCGGGTCTGTTAATGGATACCGTGCGGTATCTTTCTCTGAGAAAGATTTACAGGTTTTCTCAATCAATTTCCGGTATGCCCTTGGCGGTACTTTCTTTAATGCCCCCCTTACCTCTTCCATTCCTAAGGCCTTTGAGGCGCTGGGGTTTTCCAAACCCTACTCTATCGAACTTCGGACTGCTTTAATCAAATATTTTCTTGATTAATTTCGAATCAGCACCTATGATGCCTTCCTATTATTTGGAAGCTGAGGTTAACTTAGGCACAGTTTGTTCTAAGAACAATGCTACTGCCCCTTTAATCCCTGTTAGTACTCATCTTAGTGATGTTATTGCAAATGATGCTTTGGTGATAGCTCCTGGTTCTATCTATGTTGCCCCAGTTGAGATTGAAATATATGTTCCTCCTGTTCAATCTTCTATGATTGAATTTGCTGCTATGGATGCCTAACCTGTCTATGAAACCCCTGTTGTTGATGATTCAAATGATGGCCCCTTTGTTACTGCTGAGGTAGCAGCCACTAATACCAATGGTATTATTGGCGTGGCTACCAATCCTCCCCCCTCCCTATTTACTGAAGTTGCCTTTGTTAGTGATGCACCCCTTACTACTGTTGCTGATACAATTCTGCCCCTTTCTGGTGATACATCACCAGCTTATACCACTGACACCACGGATGCCAACCATGCTGCCATAGATGTTATCCCTGCTTCCTCTGATAGGGATGAACCCCCGGTGGCCGCCTGTAACAAGGCGGTAACTGTAGGCGTTGTTCATCCTATTCTCATTACTCCGACTCAATTGCACTCCTGCATCCTTTCTTCCTATGATAAAATAGAGGCTCCAGCAGGCATTGAGGATATTAAATCACAGATGGCCCCCTTACTGTCCAATGATGATAAAAAAAATCTGAGGACAATCAAATTAAAACGATTTTTATTCTTTTTTGGGTTCAGCAGCTAAACGGAAGACACACAACAATTCTTCGAAGTGGGATGGACCTCACACCCAATGGTCAACCGAAGCCGCCCCCACAAACCACAAGATGATCTAAGATTTGTTTTCCTGTTTTGCTTCTCTTCTTTCTTTATCGTTTCATTTTTAGCCTGAGTTTTCATTTTGAGTGGAGGTTATACTGGGGTGTACTGATTTGTACCTCACACCCAATCTGCTCCCTAAATGTTTTACTTGGCAGGCTCACTCTTGATACTGTTGACTGATGCTATTTTTGCATTGGGCAACCACACTCTTGAAATTGAATCATCATACCTGAACTGACATATTGAATAGTTTCATGTGAGCTTCATTTATACTTTATTAATTTATATATTTTTTGAGTTCAATTGCAGGATGCTAATGTTAATTCTGTTAGTTCTCCAACTTTTTGTATACTCATGTAAACTGCAGGTAAGTAGTCTATTGTTAATTCTATGCATTATTGCTTCAATA